CTGGCTAGCTAACAAAGCAAAGAAATTGCGTAATACCGGTCAAGCTTATGTTTCGCAATCAAAAACAAAAAAAATTGTTGCAGCACGTGCTATGAAACAACCTTGCAGGGATAAATGCAAAATGCAATGTTCTTCTAAAATCGACGACAACCAGAGAAGAAAGATTTTTTCTAAATATTGGGAACTAGGTGATATTACTTTGCAAAGAAACTTTATTAATAGCTGTACAAAACCTATTATGCCTGCAATTCGTTTTTCTGGTAAACAGATACCCCGAGGTTATAATAACGCATTTTATTTTATAATCAACAATGAACAAATACGGGTGTGTAAGAAGTTTTTTATGGCGACATTGGATGTGAATGACCGTGTTATAAGAACAGTATTTCGAAAGAGAGAATTGGGTTTTGTTGAAATTGATAAAAGAGGCAAACATGGCCATCACAAAAAAGTTGATGAATCGATTAAGGAATCAGTTAGACAACACATAAATTCTATACCACGAATAGAAAGTCATTATATCAGAAAAAATTCAAGCCGCGAGTTCATTGATGGTGGTAAATGTATAGCAGATTTACATGCAGATTATAAAAATAATTGTTTGGAACAAGGAGTCTCAGCAGCGAACTATGAAATGTACGCCAAAATTTTCAATCAGGAATTCAACATAAGTTTCTTTATCCCTAAAAAAGACCGTTGTGAGTTGTGTGTCAGCTTTGAAAATGCGGATGAATCTGGAAAGGAGAAGTTGAGCGAAAAATACTGGTCACATTTAGATGAAAAGGAATGGTCTAGAATTGAAAAAGAAAACGATAAGGTTAAAGCGAGCACTGACTACATTGTCGCTGTGTATGACCTTCAAGCAGTCCTTCAAAGTCCAAAAGGAGATGTTTCGATTTTTTATTATAAATCTAAATTAAATAACCTGAATTTCACTATTAGCGAACTTGGATCTGATCATACCGAATGCTACTTGTGGCATGAAGGTGAAGCCAATCGAGGAGCAGACGAGATTGGATCTTGTGTACTTAAATTTATTGACAAAGTTATGGCAAGTTACAGCGGCTCAGGGATTGAATTCGTATTTTTCTCAGACAATTGCTGTGGACAGCAAAAAAATAAATTTATTTTTTCTATGTACACATTCGCTTTGATGAAGCATTCCAATATAAAATCAATAACTCACAAATACCTTATAACCGGCCACACCCAAAATGAAGGGGATGCAGCACATTCCACGATAGAAAAAGCTATCAAGAAAAACCTCAGATCTGGACCCATTTATGTCCCCAGCCAGTATGCTCAAATAATACGAAATGCGAGAAAGAAAGGCAATCCATACAATGTTAATGAAATGTGCTACAAAGATTTTTTTTCGATGAAATGTTTGGCTGATGATATAGGCTTTAATGCAAAAAATTTGAAGACTGCTGAAATAAAAGTTTTGAAAATGATTCAGGGCGAGCCCACTAAAGTTTTCATTAAACATTCTTATAAAGACTCGGATTTTCAAGAAATCCAAATCACTAGAAAACAATTAAAGGCTCAAGACATTCAAATTAAACCAGCATACAGATGCAAACCTAAAATAAAAGAAAATAAAAAGAAGGACCTTATAAGTTTAGTCAACAGTAACCACATTCCAAATTTCTATGCCTCTTTTTATAACAGTCTCTAATTCTAAATAAAAATTTGGTACTGGCAGTGTATACATACAGACTCAATTTAATGTATATGTTTAAGATGATTGATTTTATGTGATGATGACTGAAATTAGTATGAGAAAAAACATTTTAAGTGATTTTTCAAGTAAAGTTCATAGTTTAAGAACCATTTTAATAAAAATGTTTATTAGTACATGTTGTATTATTATTAGTTATAACACCACCATAATGTAAAAAAGAGTCATAATTTAGGATTATTTACAATTATTTAAAAAAAAGACATTTATAATTGCAATTGCTGTTCTAACTTTGATTTTCCTAAAGAAGCTTATTAAATTTTACATTAAATAAAATTATAAGAAAAAAGATATCAGCCACCCTGAGGTGACTACATCGTATATATATTAAAAAAAAAACTTAAAATGGCTATTACTCAAAACCTGTTTTTTAGTGATGTGACAGTTTTTTAGAGGATGTGCGAAATGTTAAATATTATTTAATGTTATACAAATGTAAAAGTAAAGTCGATCTGAAAACGTGTAATTAGTAAGAATAGCAAAACAAGTGTTTTCAAAAGGAAAAAAACGCCGGCGCTATACGGCGGCGGATTGACAAAAGACTATTTATTAGCGAACTTTTTTTATGCATGAACGGTTTCGAACTGTTTCAAGCAAAAACAAACCTTATACCATATCACAAGAGCACATGGTACTTCGTAGGTCTATTCGGCCATATGATAGTAATAAGACGGCAGTTCAACCATTTTAAGCAAAATTAAACAATAAGACAAACGCATTGCTTTTTTTTAACAGGAGACTTGTTTGCCAGAAATTTATTTACAACTTGAGTTTGTGAGCGATCGCAATGAGTGCTATTATTTGTTACTTATTAGATAATTTTTCCATAACATGATTTAAAACCCACAAAGTAAAAATAGTACCATGTACACGTTAAAAAAAGGTTGTCAACCCCTAAAAATTTCAAATTTTCAAAATATCCAGAAACGAAGCTGCATGCATGAACTACTCGCAAAATAATGAATATTTTGTTCTGGATAAATTTTCCAAAAAAGCAATTTGAGCGAGTTATAACGATTTTTAAAAAGACACGACTCGCGTGTCATACGCCACACACAAAAGTAATCATTGGCACGCGTGGTGTGTCACCCGCACTGAACCGGTTAAAATAATATTAAGAATATTATAATAGGCCTAAATATTGTTCATATTACTGAAATTAATACTCAAAGAATATAAGTGATGAGTGTAAATAAAATAAAATCAACGTTCACACAAAACAAAATTTAAGCCTACAGGTAAATAAACACGGCGTCGTTTAAAGCACAGCACAATGGTATAACTTTAACGTCCTTAGGGCCGAATTTCGGTCAAGGCAGCCAGTCTCCAGACTTACTAGCCATCTGCTCAGGACAGGTCATGCTCAGTACCAGTTTAAATTTTACCATTTTGAAAATCTACCTAATATTAACAATTTGGCAACACATACGCAAAGCACTACTTATTTTTCTTATTTTTATTAAAGTTGTAAATTTTGCATATTATATATTAGGGTGCAGTAGGAACGAAAACCCATATTAATAATTTAGGATTTCGCACACCGTTTTCTTGCTAAGAAATACTATTGATGTACGTATTATCGCAGTGTAAGACCACCGGTGGAAACCATCATCATCAAATTTCACATCATTGGTGTCGAAAACGACCGAGAGAAATGTCTGTTGGCCTCCTATATAAGACGGTAGGTTATACTGCCATATATCGTAATATTCATATATTCCCAGCGAAAGATATCCAAACCTGAAATTCTACTGGTGAAAGAATTCTAATCCTGATGTTACTGCTGCGTGACAATAATGCCTAAATATAAGGTGCCTTGTGGACTGTCTACAAGCTGGTTAAGTGAGAAAAAAAATTTTTTTTTACACTTGTACTTTGTACGCAAAGTTTTCCCTAACTTCCAATAGCTAATTCGGTTTCATTGAAATGTAAAATGACGGTCGAAATGTGAATTGATTATTTTTGTAAATCAATTGGATATATGGTCACCCGAGGCAAGTGTAGTGGTGCAAGTGTAACAAATGCAAATTATGCAGCATAAACACGTTTTTTTTTTGGTTAAATTCAATATATTGAACAAGGCAGGAATTTTTACACTATTGACTATACCGACAGCTTCAACTATTTTATCGACAGACGTCATTATTTAAAAATTACTCGGAAAACTTGCCATATGTGGCGAAAAACTCTGTTACACAAAAATTGACGTTCAAATCATTCACAATTTCCCAGAAATCCAGGTTTCTTCACAATGCTTTCCTACACTACCGAGCAAGTTGCAATTAACAATTTCATTAGTGCCGGTGAGGATCGAACTCTGGTTACGCTAGGTGAGGCTGTAATATTAGCAGAGTATTTTCTTTTTTCGGTGGGACATCAGTAATATATAAGATCCAATATAGACGCCGCGTATCAGTAGCACACAATGTAGATATGTATTATATTTAATTGATAATAAATATTTTAGATAAAATCTAGCAACACAAGTTAATAAATAAACAAACAAGATAAAATAATTTAATAAATGTCATATATTTGGCACATTTTTAACAGCACAATTTTTAAGAAGATTGCTGCAAGAAATTTCAAGTATATTAATTTTTAACGAGCTATACAACCAAGCTGTATAGCTGAATGACCGAGCTAGACAACCAAGAAAAATTGCGGATTGGACTGATTATAATACCTACGAGAGATTGATGAAATTATTATACCATATTTCCCAGTTTCCTCCTCAAAATGAGCGTTTTTTGGGCTAAACGTCGCCCTATAAAGCATTGCAATAAACGTTATTTTTAAATACTTAGTCAATAATGAAATTATAATTTCTTTTGCCTAAGAGTAAGCGCAAAAATATTACATTTGCTACATAAATCATAATTTAGTCTAGTTTTTTTTTTGCTTTTGAAAAAATATTTCAATTCGTGTTATGCAAAATAGTATATCGTATATACAATCAGTATTCTGTAAAAATACATAAAAGTGAACCTAATATTAGACAGCTATTCAAACATATTTATAACATGGACTTAAACCCCAACACTTTTTTCTCTTTTATCTACCTCTATTGTTTATATTATGCAATATTAAACAAATAAATAATAAAATTAGATTAAACAATACAGAACAGTGAAATAACACATTTTAATTGGAAACAAAATGTAAAAATATATTTGCATTTAATATTAGCCACGAACTATAAAATTTATGAATTGTGAGATCATTTAGGTACATTAAATTTAATTAATTTGCCTTAACGTTACGAGTTTATGGACATCTTCTCTTGCAGAATTTGGAAGTAGCACGCCTGTAACAAAAATGTTCACATGTAAACGCAGAAAAAGTAAACAGGTACTTACCGACTTATCGTTGTTAGTAAAGATATAATTGACGTTTATTTGTATACAATCATAAGCACAGAACATAAATAAAGCTGCTAGAAGTAGCATTAGACCTTTGAATAAGAAGTCCAGTGTAACCTAACTTACACATTCACATCTTGACAATATGATCGTGAAACTAAAATTGGTCAAGGTCAAAAATAAATAAATAGTAATACTATTATATCAACGTATCTATATTTTTTTAAAGAAATACAAATCATTACATCTTGTACTGTTACTTACAATTTAATTTTAGATTACAAGTTACGAGATATGGAAGAATTATATATTATTAGTGTTTACAAAGTTACCTCATCAACGCCCGTCACTTCGGGTTTTGTCGAAGTTGGTCGAACCTTACAGTGTTTGGAACTTATGTGGCGAGGTCCTCGATAACATTTCCCCTGATGCCTCGAAGGCCTTTAACAGGTTTGGCTAAGTAGCCTTTTGAGCAAGTTTTTCACTGTAGAGGTTATCCCTTAGTCTGATTGACTGGGTATTAACCTCCCCCTGCAGTTAATCTCTAAACGGGTGGATACCAAAAACAGAAGCATGTCTTTGGCATCGACCCATTTAGAGACTAACATTCACATGTTAGGAGTTGCGAATTGTTTGAAATTTAAAGCCGCAAGGAAAGTTTTCTTGCAAAGGTGTGGCCGTATTTCAGCCTCTATAAGCAAGTTTGGTTGTGCATGGAGTAATGCTGACACATTGGTTGAATGCCACCTATTAGCCTTGGATTCAGTAGAGGTGCGCTAAGAGACTTGCTGGCGACATTGACTTGGTTAAAGCCAATCTTGTCAGTCTCGAGCACAGGTGCAGAGCAGTCGTCCATTTAGTGTTTTAAAACATACATTTCAAAGGGTATGTGCAGGAATCACAAAATTGAATTTTTCCTCCCTTTCCACCATCGGACAATAAGACGTTTGACCTCTTTTATTGGCCTAAATGGTTTGTTTTGCGTTTCGCAATGCGTACAGGAATTAGTGAAATAATGTGCCTGTCTGCCTTTCTTTCCGTTATTATTGCGACTGACACGTTGAAACAAGGGACAAAATATCTCTGCAGAAAGCGCAGCACATATATAATTGCACTCGTTTTTATTGTTCTATTTATTGGATCTGTATTTATTCCCTTGGTACAGTAACCCAATATTTTATCCATCGCACGTCCTATCCTTGTGTAACTTATAAACATCATTTTCTTTTATTATCGTGTCTGAAAAATCAAACACTCGCATTCTTGTTCGTGATAAATATTCAACACACCGAGTATACTGTGTGCGTCAATCAATGGACGACCTTGAAATGAATTATGGCAGAACTTGTGGCCATTCATAAAAAAAAAATAAGCAAAAAATATCTCAAGCAGTACCTAAAAGAAAAGGTTTTCTTTTAAAAACGAATTTTTGTATTTTTAATTCAAATTAATTAAATTCTTATACAAAGCAAAAAAAAAAAGTTATGAATTCCGACGTTTTTTTTAAATAAAAAATAAAAAACATAAAAATATTTTTTTTTTATTTTACGTTAACTAAGCTGATATATCTCTATATATAAAAAAACAAATGCTATCCATTAGTCTCGTAAAAACTCGAAAAGGTCTGGACCAATTTTGATGGTATTGACCCTGTAGGTGGTGCTGTTGACGACATCCAGAAGTCATGCGTGCAAAGCCGGGGCGGCTCGCTAGTAAGGAATAAAATAGTATGACTGCTGTTGCAGATTAAAAAAACATGAATTATTGTTTGAGTGAACAAGTGTTTGACAAGCGTCGATCGAAAAGGAGAGCATATATTTGTATTGAGTACTACCATGACCAAATTCAAGGTTATCCATTAACTACCCGACACCCAATATGTATCTTATGTATTATAAATACGTGTATTTAAAATTATTTATAACTAGCTGTTCCCCGCGACTTCGCCCGCGTGTTGGGGTTTTTATGTTTTCACGCGGAACCCTAATTCTTTTTTTAAAATAAAAGTAGCCTAAGTTACTCGTTATGAAATCAGCTATCTGCCAGTGAAAGTCCCGCCAAAATCGGTCCAGCCGTTTCGGAGATTAGCCGGAACAAACAGCAAGACAGACAAAAGTTTTAAAAATTGTATTTTAGTTATAAGTACCGTATTTACTTTTTTATGCATTTAGTAAAAAAACTGTAATTTTGACATTACAAACAGACATTTTATTCATTTGTATAGATATTTATAATATGTTTTATAAACCTCACATCATCGATCACTAATAAAAACCCTCACATTGAACATTGTGTGCTGTGTATAATACATACTCAGCGGACTTTGAGGGTTTTTTGTGACTTTTGGGCGTTGCATCATGCTTTGTGCTTAGTGCGTTATACTCATGGACATGTTAGTGTCGTGTACCATGTTCTGTGATATATACTATCGTACCTTAAGCGTGGTAAACATGAGGCCGAGCTCCCCATGTTGCGCCGAAGGGTCAAGGAAGTCCTCGACGAAGTGCAGCTCGGAGCCCAACTGCAATATTCGTGCTCGAACCACCACGAACTGGAATACGGGGAACAGCTCGTCCATGCCCCACAAATAGCTGGCACCTGCGTATATTTTTTTTAACTGTCAACCAGGCTCACTCAAAGGCAGAATTTCCTTTATCTCCCTACCACTGAGTAAAAGTATATATGACGGCACCAGCACCATTGCACGTGCGGCGCCGTTGGTGTAGCTAGACAGAATTCTTATAAATAACACGTGTCCCGCACACCTGCACCATTGCACCTGCGGTGGCGCCCGTTTTGCTTGTATAAAACGGACGGAGCTGCCGCCGTTAAGGCAGTCTTGGCTCTGACGTGGAACGATGCGCTTGTCGTATTCCGTTACTAGTTTATCCTCGACTCGTTGGATAATTAATTCGTGTAAACGAATTAATTATTATTCCTAACTACAAAATCAGTCTCTGTACTATACCCACTATACTTCCTACATCAGAAGTGGGATAAAGTCCCCATTTTTGTATCACATATAATCATATAATCTTCGAATAGTATGAGAATTATTACATTTGTAAAGGCTATTATGCATTTCGCATTGATGGATCTCTTTTTATGTTAAATACCGTAATGAAATTTGCTGTCCTACTTACGATATTATCGTATCATTAAAGTGTAGAGAAAAGATAAAGGAAATTATTTAAGCCAAAAGATAAATCCTTTTGTTCGATTTGTATTAAAAGTACCCTCAAGTATTTTCATTATTTCTGACGTACCTAAATATGTTAACAAATTGAAGAAATGTCGGAGGCTTTGTAGACTAGTCATCGTTTGCATTGAATGAAAAATTAACTTGTTCAAGTTTTGTTGTAATTTGATAGTTCATGCGAAACATGATTATCATCTGTTATATTTTCAAATTCAAAACGTTTAAGCGATGTACCAAAATAAAGGATTAACTTTAACATGCTAGGCATTGAAAATAATAAGGTGAGATTTTTGTGTTCTAATGTGTTGATCAGTGTTGAAGTCTGCTCCGAATACTGTGTGGTCGACAAGATTGGGGTTTGATGTCGAGAGATTTGTAGAAGTCTCTACAACAATGATCAAGGAGGCAGATGTTGTGACGGCTAATCGAACATGGTCAGGTACGGCCGAGTGCTAGTAAGATTGAGCCTACACCGCTACAGTCTGTAACTTATCGGCAGATCTTACGGCAAGGCAATTCAAGCGGCCGCCGAACACATGGTCATTTGGTGCTGTAAATGAACGTCTGAGGCTTGGTCGGCTTTCGTAGATTTTGCGCAGTTGCCTCCTTCCCTTTGAAATATGTGATGGTATCCGTCTCTAAACATACTTTCCGTTTTTTCGCAATGTTTTCAAATGTCATACAGTTGCTGTTTCTTAAGAGAATATGTGATGAATTTCGGAAGCTCGGAATTCCATGGTTCGCAATACATTTATCTCGATTTCTTTTAATTTTGCAAAGCAGTACGACGATTGCACCATTGCACGTGCGGCGCCGTTGGTGTAGCTAGACAGAATTCTTATAAATAACACGCGTCCCGCACACCTGCACCATTGCACGTGCGGCGCCGTTGGTGTAGCTAGACAGAATTCTTATAAATAACACGTGTCCCGCACACCTGCACCATTGCACGTGCGGCGCCGTTGGTGTAGCTAGACAGAATTCTTATAAATAACACGTGTCCCGCACACTTGCACCATTGCACGTACGGCGCCGTTGGTGTAGCTAGACAGAATTCTTATAAATAACACGTGTCCCGGACACCTGCACCATTGCACGTGCGGCGCCGTTGGTGTAGCTAGACAGAATTCTTATAAATAACACATGTCCCGCACACCTGCACCATTGCACGTGCGGCGCCGTTGGTGTAGCTAGACAGAATTCTTATAAATAACACGTGTCCCGCACACCTGCACCATTGCACGTGCGGCGCCGTTGGTTTAGCTAGACAGAATTCTTATAAATAACACGTGTCCCGCACACCTGCAGCATTGCACGTGCGGCGCCGTTGGTGTAGCTAGACAGAATTCTTATAAATAACACGTGTCCCGTACACCTGCACCATTGCACGTGCGGCGCCGTTGGTGTAGCTAGACAGAATTCTTATAAATAACACGTGTCCCGTACACCTGCACCATTGCACGTGCGGCGCCGTTGGTGTAGCTAGACAGAATTCTTATAAATAACACGTGTCCCGCACACCTGCACCATTGCACCTGCGGTGGCGCCCGTTTTGCTTGTATAAAACGGACGGAGCGGCCGCCGTTAAGGCAGTCTTGGCTCTGACGTGGAACGGTGCGCTTGTCGTATTCCGTTACTAGTTTATCCTCGACTCGTTGGATAATTAATTCGTGTAAACGAATTAATTATTATTCCTAACTACAAAATTAGTGTCTGTACTATACCCACTATACTTCCTACATATACATTATATTGAACTCGTAGCCAATTTCGACCACGACGACGTCATATTATAAATCGTCTACATACCTTACCCTTATTCTATAAAAAATAAAACATAAGACATTATTATAGAAAAGTAAAAAATGATTTTTATTCAATATAGAAGATTACCAGAATACTTATTCAAAGTTATTTATGCTTTCATCATTGGTTGGGAAAAAACTCTGTCCTGGGAATAACCATAAAGAAACCTAACGGACTTTTGAATCATCAATTTAAAATATTCGCCTTCGGACTTCTGTATAATATATCGTTGTTTATGTATGTAGTTAAGGGGTACTTAATCATTCTTGGACTTTCCAGGGCTTATCAAGGAGATGAAAATAATATAATATTGTTACGAGCTTGGGGTTCCAGACAATTAAAAACTGCTGATTGAATTACCAAAATTGACACTTTAATTACGGAACACTAATTACAACTTAAAAACACACTAATAATAGAACACAGTTGTACTACTGATCACTTTAGTTCGCAATTATATCACTTCGAAGTATTCGCTTATATCGCCAATTAAATACTGCATCGATCGTGGTCTATACCGGCCTTATATAGGGCCTCAGATAGTTTCCAGAACCATCTACTGTGGAAACATCTAGTATGTTCGAGTATATATCGGTCCCAAAATTTCTAGAAGGATCTTGACTCTCCTAGTTCTGCTACTCGATACTAGAGGGCGCTAGTGGTAACTAGTGTTGCCATTAATAGTGGCGCGCAACAATATGTATTTTTTATTTACTTACCCAATTGTTGTTGAACAGCCGTTGTCATCTTCTGGAATGTGCTACGTATAACTAGGAGTTTTTCTATCGGCGAAAAGGTTGTCTTCAGCTGTTGCAGTGTCTCCACCGATTCTTGAAACAGTTGGTCCTTTTGAGGCGAGTAAGGGGACGGCGTTTGGTTGTTACGGTGCGGGTTTGTGTAGCCCAGCCAGAATTTTCTAGAAAACGAAATATATTATTTATACATATACATAAAATTGAAGTATCTGTTTGTAATGTCAAAATAACAGCTTTTTACTAGTTGCATATGAAAGTATATACGGTACTTATAGCAAAAACACAATTTTTAAAAATTTTGTCTGTCTGTCTGTTTGTTCCGGCTAATCTCCGAAACGGCTGGACCGATTTTAACGGGAATTTCACTGGTAAGATAACTTATGTTATAAGGAGTAACTTAGGCTACTTATATTACAGAAAAATAATTAGGGTTCCGCGCAACAAAATTATAACCCTAAATTACACGCGGGCGAAGTCGCGGGGAACAGCTAGTACACAATAAGTGTCGGGCTTATCGTCCACAAAAGTCTCGTTAACAACGTTGTAAAGATTTTGAGTGTATTGACGAGGGTTGGGTAACTTATACTCAGAATCACCAAACGGTATTCGCTGAGGGTCATACAGGTTTACGCACCAACCTCGGCACATTCTGATGAGGAGGCGGAGGAAATGTTTGAGGATATCTCTAGAGTCATGCATTCCTCCTGTGGTGTAGCCTCACGATAGTATATATTAGTGTTAAGGTAGAATAAGTTTGATCAGTATAATTAAAGTTCTTGTACAAGCAACACATCCTTTATTCATTCAAGACCTTCCTCCCTTCATATATCACACTCCAAAACCCACTATACGGTGTTAAAGTGAGAATTGAACGCAAAACTAGACACAAGAGAGAATGGTGAGCTGAAAGTAGGGAAATTCGGAATAGGGCAACGGAACCCAAGGGGCCAGCAGCTGCAGCTGGCCGACTTCACGGAGAAAGAGAGACCCTTTATGATGAACTCTTTCTTTCAGAATCGGCCCCACAGGAAGTGGACCTGGTCGAGCCCCGATGGTTCGACAAAAAATGAGATTGACTTCATTATGATGACTAGACGTTAACTGTTCAGTAATGACTCAGTGATCGCGAGGGTGAAAACTGGTAGTGATTAATGCCTATCATCAGGACTGGCTGTTCACATACCAGAAGACCGACCACTCTGGGAGAGAGGTGTGGAATTTTGCCTTGTCGCTGGGGCTCTCCCAGCTGGTACAATAAGTGACAAGGGTACCTGATGTGGATGGGCACACAGCCAACTGCCTCGACCTTCTGCTGACGACCGATCCAGACAGGTACGATGTTCAGGTTACCTCACCCTTGGTAACTTCTGACCACTGTCTGGTGAAATCTGTGTCGTTATATTCCCCACCTAACTACGATTTCCACGGAGTGCGACGAATGTGGCGATACAAGTCAGCAGATTGGGATGAGATGCGGCATTTCTTTGCATCTTATCCTTGGTGGCAGGTCTGCTTCTCCTCTGGAGACCCATCGCGCTGCGCGGATGCCATAACCAATGTGATACGTCAAGCGATGGAGTATTTCATCCCCTTTGCTGACGTGCCCATTGGTGGTAAAGCTCGCCCTTGATTTAACGCCGAGTGCGCTCGTGCTGAAAAGCACAAGCATATGGCGTACTTATCCTGGGTCGATGCTCGAGACAGTAAAGCTCCGGATGTTAGCCTTAAGAAGAGAGCCTTTAACCAAGCCAAGTCGTGCAAAAAGGCATTACGCCAAGCCAGTTTCAACCGCATTAAACGCATCTGCGCAAAGCTCTCTGTCAAACCATCTGGCAGTAGAGCTTTGTGGTCTCCTCAGTGATCGCCAGTACGGGTTTCGCCGAAATCGATCAACTGGAGACCTTCTAGCGTATACCACTCACATATGGGGCGAAGCCCTCGAGAACAGTGGTGAAGCACTTGCTGTTTCCCTCGATGTTTCGAAGGCTTTTGACAGGGTATGGCACTCTAGTCTATTGGGCAAGCTTTCAGCGTACGGCTTATCCCCTGGCCTAATTGTCTGGGTGAAGGACTTTGTGAGTGAACGGTCTCTCCGGGTCGTCGTTGTTGGCTTCTCATCCAATACTGTGGCGACTAACGCCGGTGTTCCTCAGGGGTCCGTTCTCTCCGCAACTCTCTTCCTGCTGCATATAAATGATCTGCTCATTCCCGGTGTCTATGGGTATGCAGACGTCAGCACAGTTGTGGAGAGATACCAACCAAACGCCCGGGCCAGTCGGGATCAAATCCAGTCAGAAAGAGAGGCTATGGTTGAGCGTGTGAATCTCACACTACAGGCAGTCTCCGAATGGGGCGATGCCAATATCGTGAGATTTAACGCCTCCAAAACACAAGCGTGTCTTTTTACCGCTAAAAGGAGCCCGCTCACCTTGGCTCCTACTTTCCGGAATGTATCCTTGGAGTACACTGACCGCCTTCAGTTGTTAGGGATTGAATGTTCTCCGAAACTAAACTATGGGCGGTTCATTGAGTCCAGAGCCAAAGCAGCCGCAAGGAAACTTGGTGTTCTTGCAAGGGTGCGGCGGTACTTCACGCCGGGGCAGCAGTCCGGTCGTGCATGAATACTGCTGTCACATATGGGCTGGTGCTGCAAAATGCCACCTGGCAGCATTGGACTCAGTGGGGAGACGTGTTAAGAGGCTCATTGGTGACCTTGATTTGGTTGAAACCAATCTGGTCAGCCTCGAGCACAGGCGCAGAGTAGCCAGTCTCTCGGTATTCTATAGCATGCCTTTCGGTAAGTGTGCGCAGAAATTACACGCCTTAATTCCTCCCTCTCCTTTCCACCATCGGACAACCAGACGGTCGGCGGGTCTACATGCCTTTGTTGTCGATATTCCACGCATTAGAACCAAACGGTTTGCTTCGTCTTTTGTAATGCGTACAGCAAAGGAGTGGAATAATTTGCCGGCGTCTATCTTTCCATCCGAATACAATCTAGGCGTCTTCAAGGCTATAGTGAATAGGCTTTTGTTACGATAAGACAGTGCGATTTACCATCTAAGGCTGCATCACCAGTTACCACCAGGTGGAATTGTGGTCAAGCACTGGCTTATAATAAATAAAAAAAAGATTACCGAATGGATAGGAGGTACACTAAACCTAAACGTTAAATTGGAGAGGAGTCGTCTCCGGGCGAGGATGAAATTACAGCTTACAGAACTACAGACCTATTTCCCTTCTGAACCGCGTCTACGTGCTGTTTTCGAGTCATTACGAATCGTCTCACACGCAGACTCGACGACTTCCAGCCTCCCGAATAAGCCGGTTTCCGAAAAGGCTGCACCATAGACCACATATATACCCTTCGGTAAATTGTACAGAAGATCGAAGAGTACAATCTGCCACTTTGTCTTGCGTATGTGGACTATGAGAAAGCCTTTGATTCCGTCGAAATTTGGGTGGTGCTGCAGTCCCTCCAGCGGAGCTAAGTAGACTGTCGGTACATCGAAGTGTCTGTACAGTAAGGCTACGATGGCTATCCAAGTACAGAACCAGAGCACGAAACTTATCCAACTGCAGAGAGTTGTAAGGCAGGGTGACTTAATATCCCCGAAACTCTTCACTGCTGCATTGGAAGACGTTTTCAAGCTACTGGACTGGAAAGGATTATTACTATATACTATTAACGTCAATAGCGTGTACATCACTCACCTTCGATTTGCCGACGATATAGTCCTTATGGAGGAATCGCTGGAAAACCTAGGTAGTGCTTAATGACCTCAATAGTGTCTCCCAACCGATAGATCTTAAGATAAACATGGACAAAGCAAAAATCATGTTTAACGTCCAAAACAAAAGTAATATGTCACGTCCATGTAACACCTATGCCGGTAGTTGTTGGGAGAACTAAGCTCAAAGTTTCGAATATGTTTACTTGGGACAAATAGTCCGACTAGGTAAGTCTAACTTTGACCGAGAGGTCAATCGACGGATTCAACTCGGCTGGGCAGCGTTCGGGAAATTACGATACATCTTCTCGTCGGACATACTTCAGAAGCACAAAACAAGATTGTACAACCAGTGCGTTTTGTCAGTGGATCTGAGACGTGGCCCTTCACTGCTGGCTGTATGAGGAAGCTCAAAGTCGCTCAGCGAGCTATGGAGAGGGCTGTGCCCGGAGTTTCTCTACGTGGTAGACTTAAAAACGAGGATATCCGCAGTAGAACCAGAGTAACCAACATAGCCCAAAGAATTAGTATGCTGAAGTGGCAATGGGCCGGCCATATAGCTCGAAGAACCGACAACCGATGGGGAAGAAAGGTTCTCGAGTGGCAGCCTCTTACCGGCAGGTAAAGTGGAGGGCGTCCCCCCACTAGATGGAGTGACGACCTGGTAAGACATGCAGGAAGTCAATGGATGCAGGTGGCTCGGGACCGTGCTTTGTGGACTACAGTGGACTTGTGAAGGGCTGTAATGATGATGATGATGATGATAATATGTTTAATATAACGAGAAATTAAATGAAATCTTTATTTTTCGACGTAACAAAATAAAATTACTTTCGTTAAACGTCAATATATTGCACGCCTCACGCCTATAACGCGAAGTATACAGTATAGCACACCTATAATATTGTTGCGCGCCACTATTAATTTCTTGTACATGGCAACACTAGTTACACTAGTGTCCTCTAGTGTCGAGTAAATGAAAGTGTTGCGCGCCACTATTAATATCTAGTACATGGCAACACTAATTACACTAGCGCCCTCTAGTGTCGAGTAGCAGAACTAGGAGAGTCAAGATCCTTCCAGAAATTTCGGGACCGATATGTACTCGAACATTCTAGATGTCGCTACAGTAGAAGATTCTGGAAACTATCTGAGGCCCTATATAAGGCCGGTATAGACCACGACCGAGGCAGTATTGAATTGGCGATACAAGAGAATACTTCGAGCGAAATAACGGCGAACTGTGTTTTATTATTAGTGTGATTTTAGATTGTAATTAGTGTTCTGTAATTAAAGTGTCAATTTTGGTAATTCAGTCGGCAGTTTTTAATTGTCTCGAACCCCAAGCTCGTAACAATATAATATGAGTGGCCGTATATCAAGCAAATACTCCAACTAATCCATCTATTTTATTAGCTTCAGAGTAACATCAACTGGTTATAAATATAATGTTAATAAAATGATTTTCAACTACTATAAGTTTTATTGCTATTAAAATTTTAAAGGCGCTGTCATATTTTTTACAGCCTATATCTTATTTTATAGTTTGTGTAATAGATTTATTTTGGTAAACATTATTATTTCTCCCCTATATACATAATATAATAATAGAGCGCTAAATATATTACACGTAAATAATATATTTCAAAAGTCAGGAATACAATTTATTTTTTCATCAAAATTAAATGAAAACCTCGTGAGGCGTGCACTTTTGGATTTGGATTTTCCAAACTATTTTTAATCTCCTACCGTTCTAAAACGAGGTTTGTCTGTCCGGAGAAAAAGTGGCGAAAAAAAACTCTGCAGGTATTTTTTTATTTCAAGCTAATACCATAATATTCTTAAACAAAAATAAAAAAGAAATAGGCCCATAATTAGTAAATAAAAAAAAGTAGTAAAAAACTCATAAAAAATAAAGTCAACAAATTGTTTTAAATCTGATCAGATAAGTCCCCATCCAAGCAGCACCTGTTTACATGTTTGACGCATGGCAGCCATCGCTTTCCTCGACCTTTTTAATAGGGCGTGGACGATTTGTCATACGACGCAACCGCAAGCAAACACCTTTAAGGTAACTTTCAACATATCATGCAATATAACTTACTGATCGATTCCCAAAAAGGCCATGAGGGTAACATCTGGCTGACGATTCCACTTCAGCAACCTCCTCCAGTAGAGGTCGTCCTCTCTCTTATTATGAAGCGCGTATAGCACGAACAAAGCTGGATGGACTCTTGGCAGTAGCGTTGGTTGCAGTAAAGTTGCTGCTGATACAACTTCACTGAAAATTCACTTTCATGTTTACTTTTAAATTCATTTCAATTATAGTCTTCATGGTAGATAATGACTGTTAAAAAAATACGTTGTAGTCTGCGTATCACAAATACATTTGCGGATAGTGACTGCGTCGTTTACTTAGTGGTCATAAACGTGACTACTGACCATGTAACCCCGCTTCGCAATCAAGGCCGAGGACACGTCTAGAGGGCCTTCAAGAATTCAATATGGCGTAAGTCCATTCTGCGTAGATCGGACTAAGAATGAATAGTTAAAAGTTGAAGATAACCCACGTTAACAACGATATCAGGTCGTTGACACCCACGTCCCACAAGACCTTGAGTGTTACAAAGTGTTTGAAAGGTCGGGAAAAGAAAATAAGTTAAAATGAAGCCAGCTAAGTGCCCGCCCTAAATTTCACAATACTAAGGGAACCTTGGTTCGTTTACTACCGACACCAATATAATTGTTAATTATTATTCCAAGAGAACTTTACCATGTGCCGGTGAATGACGGTGAAGAAATCTTGGTGAGGAAACCTGCATGTCTGGGGAATAAAATATTTCGAGAACATGATGTGAAGTCCGTCAACCTATTAAAGTCCACTGCGGAACATAGGCCTACCCCATAGATTAATTTAGTGACGGTGTCAGAATATCCACTACCCCATATCATACCGTGGGTCTCGTAAGAGGCGAGATAGCGAAACGAATCAGGAGATTGGCAGCCGTGAGGACTAAGATGGAATGCCTCTTTTCTAGTAAAATGGGTCTCTGGTTCTCTACACTCACCATACGAAACACAGCAGAATTTAACTGCTATTTCACACAGCTATTCTGTGAGAGCTTGGTCCTTTCCCGGTCGAGCAGACTTATTCGTGCTACAACTATACTACTAATATAGCTGCAGCATGGCTCTACCAGGTAATAAAATATCATGTAAATATATGATATTGTTAATAATTTTAAACTGATATTTTAGTAATTCAAATATATAACTCACCCTTCAATAAGATTACTATCCTCTCTATTTATGTCTGCGTCTGGATATGGAAGCACAAGTTCAGCGCCCTCTATGGGCAGCGCCGGAAACAGCAGCCGGACCACGTGGTACAACCGAGTTGTGATACTCTTCAACTCTTTCACGGCATGGCTTAGTAACAGCGGATGAACCCTGACACCACCATATGTGGTGTTGAAAGCACTAGTGACGCTTAGCACCAATTGACCTAACGGGTGGTGTGTTGATTCGCACGCCTGGAAATTATATTAATTATATAAACAATTTAATAATTTCTTATAACGTTAAAGTGACTTTAGCTTTGCCGTATAGTGAGGGCGTAAGAATATTCACTGGACTATATTATATCGCGGGTGACGTAAGAGGGGACAGAGGGTAATGAAGCAGGAGATGGGCAGCAGCATCTTCTTTACAACAATTCAAAATCATTAATGGCAAATATCTCCCTTTCAATGTTCAACTGAGGACTTGATATGAATGAATGATAAACAAGCTACCAATCCACCTGATAGTGAGTGCCTACTGCAGCCCATGGACATTTTGTGCAAACTTTAAAGTCAAGCAAAGCTATGAAGTGAAATCCTCTTATCAAGCCTTCTTTTTAGTTAAGATATAATTATTAAAATATAAATGTTCAAGACACTCAATTTAAGATCGAGTCGATCATCCGACAGTACGAGTTTAGCAGTCAATTAATAGATCATTCATGTGGAGTAATATGACGTAGTTGCCACCCTTGGCAGGTGGTGACCGCAGCTTTTATTATTTTGAGTAGTTATCAGTAAGATGCAGTTGCCCATCTCCTGTTTCAATTTCCCACTGTCGCCTATTATGACACGGGACGATATGGGATAGTGGATATTCTTATATCGCCACTACACTTAGACAGTTAATTTATATTAATGTTAGCCGCGGTAGTCGATAAAGATACCGGCATATTAAAGTCTGCAGTAGTGACGTTTAAAGTTTAAATTTGGACACTTTGCTGGCGCTTGTACATGTCATTGGATACTTATTTGACGAGAAAAAATATACCATTTCAAATTTTTTTTTTAAATTACTTACATTATTTAAATATTGTTTAAGCTCCATATAATCATTATAATTAAGAGTCTTCTGGCCGAACTGTGGTATGACTTCCAAACAATCAACAGATTTTTCTATATCGGAACTACTGGCGTTCTTCGCTGTTGGTTTGTGCTTCTGTTTATGCGAGCAAGAGATAGCGACGGCAACGTTCTGCCATATTTTCACGTTGTCTATGGGCGGGCTAGAGGGGCTCGTTGAAAAGTGGTTACCGGTGGGAGTCAAGACAGTTTCCGAAACGCCGAGGCACTGGAAGCACTGACGGAAGAGTGCGTTCCATTTCTGATTCGGCGCTACGCTCAGTTTGCCGAACGAACTGTAAAACAAAATACATAATAGTTATTAAAAACTTTCAATGTTGCTTGTCATTTATGTCATTTTGAAATAAGATTTTGCGGTTTAGCAGAGCGGACTTCGAGTTTTAAATCTGCACGGGACAAGCGTTTGTATCCATCTATCTATTCCATCAATTACAGCCTATAAATGTCCGCTGCTGAACATAGGCCTCTCCCATAGATTGATTAAAAGGGAGGATTTTGCCACAGTTGCCACGCTTGGCAGTCGGACTGGCAATCGCAGTTTGTTATTATTTCAAGTTGTTATCAGGAAAATGCTGCTGCCCATCTTCTTTTCCCCTTTGTGGCCCTTACGATATTCACGGAACGATATTTGGTATACACGGGTACCCGGTTTGAGCAATTATTAGTATGGCCTACAAACTGTTCCACGTCTGAATGTTTGTTTTTATACGTGGTAGAGCCATGCTGCAGCTATATTACTAGTATAGTTGTAGCACGAATGGGTCGACTCGACCAGGGAAGCACCGTGCTCTCACAGAATACCAGCGTAAAATGGCAACTTGACACTGCTGTGTTTCGTATAGTGAATGTAGAGAACCGCAGACACATTTTACTGGAAAAGAGGCATTCCATCTTAGTCCTCACGGCTGACGACGCATCTGCATTTTGATTCTTTATTGAGATATCCTATAAAAAAAAATATATATTACAACGCCTCCACGATACAGGAGAAATTCTTTTTCCTTATTCATCAGTCCATAAAATTCCGCTGCTGGACTTGGACGCTTCCTAGAAATAGACATAGATTTTTTTAAATTGAATATAGACTGTACATGACGTATTGATCTTTAGTCTCAGGTTTACGTACAAATCTGTTTCACGAAAGAAATTCCGGGGAAATATGTGAACTAAAAGGTATTATATTTCAAATTTATCTCTCTAATGTATGTCAAATTTCGCCGTCCACCATCCATCAGAAGCCATAAGATTTGTCTCGCATTACGCATAGTCACCTCTTACTTCATTCATGAGAAGAAATGGAGTGATGGATTCACTTACGCCACCATCACATAGTGCGAGAAACTCTGAAGATTTAAAAAAAAATAGAATGTCTTAAAAAGTCCTCATAAAACGGGGTCCTCTTTTACATATGTAGGGCATATACCTAATCACTTTTCTCTTGAAAGTGAAGAAAGATAATAACTGCTCATTAAAATGGTTTCGGCAGTTATTGGAATACGTGTTTTAGAATAGAACGGAATAGAATAGAATATTTAAGAGAATAACAATATTATATAAACTATCTTCTTCTTTATCCTCCATATTGAAATGATATAATTTTTAACATTATTATATTATAATATACTACGAGGGCGGCACTGAAAATTTCGGGAATCAAGGAAGTGACACAACATTACTATTTAAAAATGTATTTACTGCTTTTCGAAGTATTCTCCGCGAAATTTGACACAGTTTCCCATACGATGGAACCAATCATTGAAGCAACCATTCCATTCCGAAGTTGGCGTCCACAGCTTCTTCAGGTGATGAAAATCTCTGTCCACGCAATTTATTCTTTATTTTAGGGAAAGTATAGAAATCCTTAGGGCTTAGGTCGGGGCTGTACGGCGGATGTTCTAATAATTCTATGTTTTCTTGCTCTAAAAACTCTTTTGTTCTGTGTGCGGTGTGAGAACTCACATTGTCGTGATGGAGGATGATGCGGTGGTTGCAGTTCTCTTTACGGAGTTCAGAAACGACCTGTGGCAAACAAATGCTAGCATACCATTCTGCATTAACCGTTCTTTGTCCCTCAAGAGGAATAGTCGTAATATGGCCGGTTTTGGAGACAAACGTGGCCACCATTTTTTTTGCAACACTCCGTGAACGAACAATTTTTGTTGGCTTTAACTCATTTTCGAACACCCAAACTCGTGACTGGCTTTTTGTTTCGGGTTCGTACGCGTATATCCAGGATTCGTCACCTGATACGATGTTGTATACAGCATTTGAGGATCCTGCATGGAATCTTTCGAGAGTTCTGACGCACCAAGTAACGCGACCCGCTTTTTGCTCTTCACAGAGCGAATGCGGTATCCATCGGGAAAACAACTTTTTTACACCTAATTGTTCATGCAAGATTATTTGTATTCGACTCATGCCAATGTCTAAAGTTGCCTGAATTTCGCGGTATGTTACATGTCGATCTTCCTCAATCAGCTTACGCACAGCATCAACGTTTTCTTGGGAGACTGCAGTTTTTGAACGACCTTGACGGGGATCATCACTGAGCTTGACACGTCTACGTTGAAATTCAGCAAACCAGCGATAAATTGTGGTTTTGGATGGGGCTTCATCACCAAATGCAGAAATCATCCAGTCAACACACTGTTTTTGTGTTAAACCACTTCGAAAGTCATAATAAATCATCGCTCTTGAATTTTCTCGAGTCAATTCCATTTTCTCAACGACTAAACAAGTTTGACAAAACATTGTGACAAGACCGAGAATCTTTTTTTAAATAAATAAATGGTATTCGATTTTTAAAACCAAGGACTTTTCAATTAAAAAGATTTTAATATGACAGGAACAGTGGAAATATTCCATTCCCGATACTTTTAGTGCAGTCAAGTCCAAGAAGACTTTGTTCTGCCCTTTCCGACAACCCTTTTTCCTTTAATAAATCTTTATATTCGCAATAAAAAATATTGAGAGTCACTTATGGGGATAATCCTATCTCTCAAGTTGGAGCAAGCAATACACATTTACAAAATTTCATTGAAGTCCGTTAAGTGGTTTCAGAGTTCATCACAGACAAACCATGTGACACGTAATTTTTATATATAAAGATACTATGAAAGTATGTTCTATATCAATAAAAACGGTTAAATTAATAAATACAATACAAATAATATATTAAAATACAAACGAAATTATTATAATTACATTAAAAAAAATTAATTATATTATTGAAATTACCCTTTTTTGAAGTCTATTAAAAATACGTTTTACAAGCTCTTAAACGGATAATAAAAGAAAAACTACATCGTTTCTGTATTTATAATGCTAAAACTTAAAACCAGATTTCATGCAGGTGATGTAAAAGTTTGGAAACATATTCTTACTTCGGTTTTGAATTGGCAGGTAGCGCGGGGTTGGACACATTGAGCTGCATCACAGCGTTGGTAACTTTGACTCCCTCGGTCCAGGCTCCGCTGAGCGAACCCTCGATGCGGTCCCCGCTCGAGAACGTGAGCACCCCCTTGCCCGAGAACACGCCCGCCGACCTGAACTCGCCCTCGTAGTGAGTGCCATCCTCGAATACCATCACACCGTGACCCTACGATCGTGAAACAGACTTCATGTTACACGTGGCAGAGCTATAAACGTCTAAAATAAATTATATTCGTGTGTCGACTGAATTGTTTTAATAATAATTATTTTCTTTGTTTTGTAAGATACTTGAGGCTTCTACGAATTATGATAACCGCAGAAAACAGTTATGTGAATACTACGAACATGTATTACGTGTTCGTAATACACGCAATTGCAGTAATTAGGTACTTTACAGTCTGTCTAGGGCTGCGTTTCTTAACCTTTTTCAGCCACGGTCCCCTAGGAAACTAAACGCAATTACCAAGAACCCACTTATTAAAAAAAAATACGTATTTTATTTTCGTTATTGTTTTTTATAGAATAGGGTGACAAACGAGCACACAGTCCACCTGACGGTAAGTGGTTGCTGTGACCCATAGACATCCACATCTATCCTCAATAAAGAATCAAAATGCAAATGCGTTGTCACCCGTGAGGACTAAGATGGAATGCCTCGTTTCCAGTAAAAAGGGTCTCCGGTTCTCTACACTCACCATACGAAACACAGCTGCATCAAGCTGCTATTTTACGCTGGTATTCTGTGAGAGCGTGGTCCTTCCCCGGTTGAGCCGACCCATTCGTGCAACAACTATACCAGAAATATAGCTGCAGCATGACTCTACCACGTAATTCTGTCCTTTTTATCTTTTGTATTCAAATTGCGTGGTAATGCACTATTTTAACTGTTTTTACTGCGCACGCACACATTCGTAAGGGTCGATCGGTAGGCAAAAACGTTGAATTTAGCGTAAATCGCATTCGATTTGGGATGATTTCAAATAAAAGTAGAAGCCTTATTTACTCGTATATATATATTTTCAAAAACTGCAATAACGGTATACCATTGTTTATATATTTGAACTTATGTTTGTGAAAAATAACCAAAAGGTAAGTTTACTTATTGCACTCTCGCTAAGCATGTAGGCAAGTTCAAAAAAAATTTTTTGCTTGAAAATAAGGCACGCTATACACATGTTTTCCTAAATATATATGTTATCATTTCTCGCAAAGCACAAAATTTTCTTTTATTTTGTAAATTATTTAAAAATTTTGTTTTTAATAAAATTACACTTATAATAAAAAGAAAGAGCCGACTTTGAAAGTACTTAAAGTTAAAAGTTACTAAGCCTATATATGTCTCTCCTCTGAGCAACCGCGGCTTCAAAGTAATAAAAATATAAAATAATGTTCATATAATTACTTTCTAAAGTCGGTGCCAAGAAGTCATTAAACAAGTCTTTGAAGTTTACTTTAACTTTTATTAAAAGTTTAAACTTTTGACCCTTTGAGTGGAGTAAAGAATATCAGAAGCTCATTGCGACTAGAATGACGTCTAAATAGCTACATTAAGAAATTCATCCCCTTCTTTGCCATCCTTAAACGTTCGTAAACGGTACGACGACCTTAAACGGGTACACGGTTAGTATAAGTTATATAATAAGGAATCATCAAAATTTGTTCATAATTGAAGATTTCGCGTAACATACATACAAAAAAATAAGTTAGCCTCCTCTTTTTGTGAAGTCGGTTAAAAAACTAGTGACGTCGATGATAAAGTTAACGTCGTTTTTGAAAAGCTGCACAAGAGACGCGCACAAGATTCGATGCTTAAAAAACTTTTCGGTAATAATAACAATAATTAATTTACCACGTATTGACGGTATAAGAATATCCACTACCCCATAATATACCACACACACACACACATACCGTGGGAGTCGTAAGAGGCGACAGAAGGAAACAAAATAAATCAGGAATAATTTAAAATTAAAAATTTTGTACAGCCAACTTCAATATAAGTTATTAAGAATAACCCAAAAACTATTTGTCTGACCTTGATCAAATTCATATGGGACCACACGAGAAGTACCGGCTTTCAAATAAAAAAAGAATCATCGAAATCGGTTCACCCAGTAAAAAGTTATGAGGTAACACACATAAAAAAACATACAGTCGAATTGAGTACCGTCTCCTTTTTGGAAGTCTAAAAAAGACTAAAAATAAAAAGCTGCGGTCGCCATCCCGCTTGCCAAGTGTGACAACTATAGTAAATATCCCTCTTATGAGACAATCTATGAGGGAGGTCTTTGTTCAGCACTAGACTCTATTGAGCTGTAACGGATGATTAATTTAACGTTCCTATTGTAATCAATTTAACATTCCTATTATATATGAATTAGGTTTAAAGATACAATATTATCACGAATTCAAAACAAAAACACCACTGAGACAAAATAATGTACCATTATCTGAAATAATTTATTGCGTACTCTGTAGTAAACAACTTAAATAGGAACTGAAATGTTTTATATTATTGTTAGCATAGACTAAGTACTTATTTATATTTTTAATATGTATTTATAAATAAATTAGAATCAATGATTGATAATGGCAGGAAACAACGTAAAATTGGTCAGCTGTTGAAGTCTTCTATATAATATGTACTGAATCACTCATTTAAAAAATATATATATAAATTTTACGACATAGTCATTACTTAATTTATAATGTAATTTTCACTCAATATACTTGTAGGTATGTGTAATTACGTATTATATTTTTTATGAATTTAAGAAACGTTATAAAATGTTATTTACGATTTGAACAAAAATTTCATTCAAGTGGACACTAGGTTCCATGGTGTAATGGTTAGCACTCTGGACTTTGAATCCAGCGATCCGAGTTCAAATCTCGGTGGAACCTGTGAATGTTTTTTGTGAATTATTAATGTTTCCGATATACTTAGTCTACAAGTTTTAGTCAATAAGTACAAAAACGTGTTAATTCTTGTTCCCGTTCTTAAAAATATGTGCGATAGCTCATTCGATTCGTAATGACGTCTAGAAAAATGTCTCGACGATTTATTAGGCGGTGGTCTGCTATAAACGCCATCGGCCGCTTACAGCGTCACTACGTACGCCGCGTTACGATGTTAGCACATAAAAATTGCAATTGTTATTAACAAAATAAGGTGAAAAAAAAAAGATATTTAATATTTAGATAATTATTTAAACAATCGAAATATAAAAAAAAAGATTATAAAGGATTAAAAAATATATATTACCGGATTTTTTTTTAAATAAAATTCATCACTGTCATGACATTAAAATGGTTTTTTTAATATTAAACTTGTCTATTTGTTTATAAACATATTCTTAAAAAATGGCATAATTTTTTTTCTGCGTTTATTAATGTCATTGTTGGATGCAAAAATAGCAAAATAATAATATTTTTGTCAATCAACAATTTAACAATTTTTTAGTATTTCACGTTTTCTTCATTAAAAAAAAATATCGTAACAAACAAAATATAAAACTTTAATAAACTTTTCTCACGTTATCTTGTTAAGTATGTATATAAGTCAATTATTTAAACGTTTATGTCGACTTTTGTAAAAACAGAGATAGATTTCCCGTTTCCGGGAGTTGAGACTTTTTATTAGAAATTTTCTCCTCTTTAAGGATCTTTTCTCAAAAGTTCTTAAATATCAATAGTTTTTGAGTAATTAAAGAAAAATCTTTTTTTTTTTCATTTTAATTTGTTAATAACAATTGCAACTTTTTATGTGCTAATAAATCGTCGATATACATTTTTCTAGACGTCATTACGAATCGAATGAGCTATCGCAGATATTTTTAAGAAAGGGAACAAGAACTAACACGTTTTTGAACTTGTTGACTAGACTAATATAGATGTTGATGTAAACTATTCAATGTATCATTTCCATAAACGACAATTTTAATTTATTTAAGGCGTGGATTTCCTATGTTAAAAGGTTTTAGCCGAGAAGTGAGCGTGCGTCATTAGGTGGACAAGAAGTTACTTATTTTAAACGTTTTTACTTATTATCAGGAAATAAAGAAACTAAATAAAAATATAGCCGGTTAAGAATCTAATTCAATAATTTGCTTTTCGTATTATTATCCAAAAATATTACAAGTAAAATGGTTAACACTAAATAAACAAAAATACGAACGTTAAAAAAAATTCCGGGCGATTAAATTTTAATTTTTTGTTCTCGATTGAGAATTTATTTGATGTAATACTCAAATTCTCAATCGATATAAAAAAAATTATATATATTATAGGCGCATATTTTTTTCCAAACATACTATTTTAAGAAATATCAATTTTGTCCAACCGTCCTCCCAATAATTAAATAAAAATGAAATAAATATCTTCACTACTGTAATCTAGTATCAGGTTTTCTATGCAAAAATCATAGCATACCGTATTGGAAATATATATATGCATACATGGTTTTTTTTTCTACGTATTTATGGCACAGCCCTTTTCGAATTATTTAAATTTCATTACCACCCTAATAATAAATACTAAAAAAAACGTACAATTCTCGATGTTCATGTATTAATAAGTAGGTAAACGGGCGAACGAGCTTAGTCCGGCGTTTAGAGAAAAATATGATTTATTCAGGTATGAAACTAATCTAAAACTTGGAAAGAATATATTATATAAAAATAAAATTTCAATCAAATAGAGTGGTTTCTGAGAAACTATTTACATATAAATATACATTATAAAGAATAAGTAACTTGAAGTATAGGAATAATAATAATATTATGAATGAAGAATCTGACCTTAGACTAATTATGCAAAACATCTGATATTTTTATATAGAATTTTCGTATTAATAGTAGGTAATGTTCACCATGTAGTGGCAGCGACTAACGTTCGTTCCTATATCATTATATATGTTCCGTGGGTGTCGTAAGAGGAGACTGAGGGAAACTGAAACAAGAGATGGGCGGCAGCATCTTCCTGATAACAACAAAAAAAAACTGCGGTTGCCAACCCATCTGCCAAGCGTGGCAACTATGGCAATTATCTCCCTTATGAAGCCATCTATGGAAGGCCTATGTTAGCTAGTGTACTTTGATAAGCTGTAATATATATGTAGAGTAAATCTATACAAATAAATAAAATTGAAGTGTCTGTTTGTAATGTCGAAATCAAAAGCTTTTTACATGAAAGTATATACCGTACTTATAACAAAAATACGATTTTTAAAAATTTTGTCTGTCTGTCTGTTTGTTCCGGCTAATCTCCGAAACGGCCGGACCGATTTTGACCAGACTTTCACTGGCAGATAGCTGATGTTATAAGAAGTAACTTAGGCTACTTTTATTTAGAAAAAGAATTAGGGATCCGCGCAAAAAATTAAAACCCATGTAAATCCAATTGTAATAAATTACGAGCGGGCGAAGTCGCCGCGAACAGCTAGTATAGTATAAACTGTAATGTCGTAATACGAAAATTCTTTGCGAGAATAAATTTGTAGCGTTAATGTTTAAATAAAAAAGAGATAACATAAATTATCACCTGTGATAACTGTCAACTAACCGTTAAAACATCTTGCGTAAATAAGCCTTCGTAGTAAATACCATCTAAGGTCACAATGAGGCCACAGCCATGTTTCTTATTATCCGTCCAGTTGCCTAAATATTTCTCTCCTTTCCCAATATCGTCCATCACGCCGTATCCGTGTCGGACACCATTCATCCACTCTCCGGTGTATATAGTTGCATTGGAGGACTTAAAATCTCCTTGCTTTTTTACCCCGTGTCCATGGGGATAGCCATCTTTAAAGTAGCCTTCATAAATATCACCTGACATATATTTTATAACGCCGTATCCGTTTTGGAGGTTATCCTTCCAGTGGCCTTCGTAAGTCCCTGAAAATATGATATTGTAAACTAACCATGTAAATAAATATTACGTGGTAGAGCCATGCTGCTGCTATATTAATTGTATAGTTGTTGCATGTATGGGTCGGCTCGACCGGGGAGGGACCACGCTCTCACAGAATACCAGCGTAAAATAGAAGCTTAATGATGCTGTGTTTTGTCTGGTGAGTGTAGAGAACCGGAGACCCTTTCTACTGGAAAAGAGGGATTCCATCTTAGTCCTCACGGCTGACAACACATCTGCATTTTCATTCGCAAATGAAGATAGATGTACATGTCTATGGGCCACAGCAACCACTTACCATCTGGTGGACTGTGTGCTTGCTTGCTACCCTTATCATATAAAAAAACAGAACCTGTGGTATTTTTTTATACAATACTTACTAGTTTCGTGCGGGAATCAAAACCTCGGCCTCAGTTTAGCGACCAAATACTGTGCTACCGAGTTAGTGTGAAAGATATAAGGACAATTTATTAAGTTTTTGTTTTAGATTTTTTATTACTAGGAAGTATTACATATGCAAACCCATTTTATCTTAGTCCTCACGGCTGACAACGCATCTGCATTTTCATTCGCAAATGAAGATAGATGTAGATGTCTATGGGCCACAGTAACCACTTACCATCAGGTGGACTGTGTGCTCGTTCGTCACCCTTATTCTATAAAAAAAAACCATATGTCATGAAACTTGACTGTGGGAAGAAAATACCTAGATAATTTCATGAATGGTAGATTCCTCATCCTCTTCTTTACCAACCCCTAAACCATCCATTTTGGAACAAGCGTCTAATAGCAGAGTGAATTTCATAGTCACCAAGCATGAGGAGCGGATTGACAATCACATTACTTACATTTTGCATCTAACGTGACTTTTCGTCGTCGTTCTGGTTATTATGGTATAGGTGGTATATACATAATATATCAGAAGGTAATAAGGCAAAAAATCGTAGGCCGGGAAAATTTACAGTTATTTCCTTAAATCAGGAATAGAAGGGGCGATGTCCACCCACGGAATAGATAGGGCGATGTTCTCTTTAAAGTGACTATAGTGGGGTTTGCCAAGTTGACTTTAAGCAATCATTATCGCTAATAGATAACTTTAAAAGTTCGGTTCGCTAATAGTAACTATATTGTAGTTTTCTGGCACAGGGATATGTTTAAAAGGAGACTCCAGCAGCTAGAGGTTAATTTTCCTGTTTTCGCAAATAACAATTTTTTTATTTATATAAAAATTAATGGGAATATCTCAATGTTAGTTTGTTTGACAAAACAAACAAATGTTGAGTAGCTGCTTATCATCAGGTGGAGAGTATGTTTGCCACTTAAATTTTATAAAAAATAAAGAAAAAAATGTACTAAACTTTAGTATAAGATAAAGAATATATATATATATATATATATATATATATGCAATACAAATGTTATTTACTTTGAAAGACTTACCGACATTGGGTATTTCTATTTTACCTTGACCACATAGTGTGTTTAATTGAAATTGGCCAACATAAAGTTTCCCATCAGGCCATTCCACTTTACCATGGCCGTGCATTTTGCCATCTAACCATCTACCACTATATTTAGCTTCTTTATAAAATGTATTCTTATTTGAAAATATGTAGCTTGCTGTTCTAATTGCAGGAGGTTTGAAAAGTGTCTCTTTATTCAATGCCGTGCGAATGGAAGTGTTAAAAGAATGGATCCATTCTGTTTTCTCTTGTTCTGTACTTGTTGAAACTGAGATAGTTTCCTCTGGTGTTAGAAGCTGTATGACATTTTGTAGCGAGTCTGAATTGGGCACTGTTTCAGCCCACAGTGTCTCTATAGGATGAACATTTATTACACTGCCACTAACATGAACAAATAAATCGTTAAATAGTATGAACCAATGTGAACTGAAGCGTCCTGGGTTCACCAAATTCAATGGACGAGACTTAGATTCCCTTATCAATCGCCTTTCTGGGGTTCGGTATTGCTCTAAAGCCTTTCCTATTGTTTCCCAAAACAACTTTGTCATATCTGCTTCCTTTCTCTTTTTTTCTTGATCATCTATTAACATATCTAAAGATGATATAACTTTATTAAGCTTTTCTTCCATACTTAATTTCATTTCACTCTTCTTGTTCTTGGTTTTATGTCTTAATAACGACTGGGCAATACATTTATATGAGCTTAATCTAGTCAAAGGCTGCACAAAAGCTAAAGCCACCACAGCTTCCAATGTTTTCTTATTGTTCTTCTGTTTGTTCGATGGAAGCTGATCACTGAATAAATTATAAACACTTGATGGCACATCAATAACATTATTAATATGAGCAAATCCACCAATAACAATTAAATTGCTTATAGCTAAGTAATACTTTTTGTACAAATAAATATACTCTTCTAAATTTTTTATTAACGATATATCACATTCGTGTATATGCTTTTCAGCATATTGCCAAGTTGAGAGCACATTCAATGCTGTTATGTTCAAAATATCGCCAAATATATCACATACAGTTTCATATACATTGGAATGTAAGGTAATTGCTTTGCTTTTTTTAAGAAAAGGTTTGACAAGTGACTGATAAATTAGAATCATTTCTTCTAGATATCGTTGAGCAATAGACAAATTTTGAAATTCAGGACTTATGTTAGATTCCTCTACAGAGCAATAACTAATGTTACCAGAAGACAGTATTCTCCAATGATAACACATATTTTGGGGCTTTTTAACATAACTTTGGGCCTGGTTACTTTTTACTATAAAATCTTTCAAGTTTTCACTTTCTGGATTCTCTTTTTTAGTATTCAAATTAACTATAGATTCAGTAAATCCTTCTATGTGTTTACCCATATACAAAATATTTTCATTTTGAGTGTAAGCGAGGGTATGATGGTCGGTTGCAATCATATCTCTAATACGGTCACTCTCAGAGTTTTCAGTAAACTGTTTTGGACCACTTTTGTCTTCTCTAGAATCAAAACTAACTTGATGGAAATAATTGTAGCCCCAAATGAACAGTCTTCCATCTAATGTTAGAGCTGCACAATGCCATTTACCACAAGAGACCTTTTGAAGACCAAAACCAGAGAGACTCATAACTACCATAGGCTTAACCCTTTTTACTGTATCTCCAATTCCAAGCTGTCCATAGGTAATATCACCCCAAGTCCATAATTCAGTGGCTAAGATATTTTTACCAAGCTTAGACATGTTTTTGAGGTTTTCTGTATTTCTGAGAGCTTCATAATCTTTCTCACTACTAATTGTACTTGCTGAAAAATGTAGATCATCATAATTACCATTAGAGGCACAGCTGTACATAAGAGAGTTGACTTCTTCAGCTTGGATATGGTTTTGAAGTTCAACGACCTCATTGGTATCACTACTACCACTTACATGTCTTGACAAAGTAGCAACCTTATCTCCCACAGTCTTTACCCCCTCATACACAAAGTTAGTGAGATTTGAGACATTTTCTTTTATGATTCTTGTTGGTTTTTCTGTGTATTCAACTAAATAATCTTCACCAGCTGAAACCCAAGATAATTGTCTACTCAAAAATTGTTTTGCTGCATCTGTATTGATAAATATATTGTTGATTTTATCATTACTTCCTTGTGGTGTTCCAACCTCTTCTTCTGTTACATTATCATCCTCAGACTGATTCTTTTGAAGGTTCTGATCAGCTTCTAAAGTATTCACACTTTGTACAATGTTATTCTTTGTTACCTTAGACTCTTCTGATGAAGGACTAGAATCTTCAGTAAAGCTTTGAGCATCAATATGGACATCAGTTTGAGGCGCTGTAGTGCTACTTGAATCCTCACTAGATTTACTGATATGGACTCCAAGTGGACAAGTCTCTGACAAAGACGGGACTGACGCAGGGGATGCAAGACCTATTATTGTTTGACACTGTGAACAATTTGATGCAAACACTTCTTCATCATCATTATCACTATCTGTGTCACAATTACCAGAGTTTCTTACATTTTTTCTTGCTATCACAGCAGCAAAATTTTGTCCGACAGATGCACTGTACACAGTTCTACCTTCGAAAAATGGAACTTTCTTGATATTATTACTTTCTAAAGCTATTTGAGGCATAACACCTGACCCCCATAACTGACCATCACTGCTTATAAAAAGCTGTCCAAAATCACTAGTCACAACATTCCTAAATTTCACTTTAAAACTATTACTCTTAAAGCCATGAGGGCAACATTTGGAATCTTCTTTAACGACGATTTCCTCCTTATTTTTAAAGTTGATATTTGATTTATAGAGTCTTCCATGAACATCAATAATGTAAAGAATATCATTATGATAGGATATGTCGATTGCCGTGATACCACTAACTTTTTTAAAATTTATGGAATCAGTTTCAACATTACAATGATAGACTCCATGATCACTCCCTAAAACAATACAATCTGTACCTAAGGAGCACAGTTTTACAATTTTATCAGGTACGTTTTGGGACAATGGAATTTTTAATGGTGTTATTCCAAGCCAAAATTTATGTTGACTCATTTTAATATCGTTTATTTTTCCTTGAAATTATTTGTGTCATTGTGCTTTTTATTTCCATCCGCATAAATTAATTTTCACATAACATTGAGTGTTCAAAAGCAGCAAAATACATTGTGTTCATTGCTTCCTGGCACAATACAATTTATTTACAAGCCCAAGTTATAAATATATAGGGTGAGACGCGCAGAATGATGAGATAAACAATTCCTTTTATTTACCTACTTTATCTTTAAATTTTTAAATTCAAAACAACTTCAATAGATCACGTACTAAATTCCAAAGAGCAAAGTAATTTATGAATATTCGATATACATCGATGCATCGAATTCACTAAATGCTTACAATACGATGCATCGAATCGGTCTATTGTTTTGAAAAATTATTGATATACTCGATGTATCGATGTATTTTCATAAAACATCGAATCAATATCATTGTTTCGATGTTTTATGAATAGATATAAACAACAACAAACATATAAACAAGCAACGGTAAAAAGGTATACTTACCTATCATTATTAATATTACACACATATATATAAACACTCACGTCTGTCACCCAGGGGGGTAGGCAGAGACTATGGACTTCCATTTGGCACGAACCTGACATACCTCTCTCGCTTCTTCCACATCTATATGGATACGCAACACGCCCGTCGGTTATAAGTAGTCTTAATTTGGCCCATTTTCAATATATCACCAATTTGGTCGATAAACTTTTGCCTAGAGCGTCCCTTCTCGACTCTGCCGTATACCTCTGCAACATAAATTTGCTTTGTCACTCTTTCCTCATTCATTCTTTCAACATGACCAAACCACCGAAGCATTCCTTTTTTAATCCTGGTCACAACATCATCTTGCAAACCACACTCTTATCTTATCACACGATTTCTGACCCTGTCATTCAGATTCAACACTAACATACTCCTTAATGACCGCATTTCTACAGCATTTATTCTACTCTCGTGCTTCTTCTGCCACACCCAACTTTAGCTACCATACATTAAAGTAGGGACTAATACAGCATTGTGAATTGCCATACGTGCCTTTTTGGACTCATTCTGTCTTCCCACAATGGAGTATAGAGCCCCATTCACTTTATTTCATGCGTTCACTCGTCATATCTGCCATACCTGCTAAATACACATCCCAAATACACAAACTCATCTACTTGCTCGACCAACTCCCCTTCTATTCTTATTTCATATATCGTTTTATTTTCTTCTCTTTCAAAAACCATAACTTTCGTTTTACTTGCGTTCATTTTCATTCCCTTTTCTTTTAATGTTCTGTTCATTAATGTAACCATCATTTGCAACTCGGCCGCCAACGACGCACGGTTAACTTAGGTGAGTTCTCAACCCGCATTCTTCAACTTCCAAATGTACCAAACAACTGTCCATAAATAGGTTGAATAGCCAAGGGGAAGCCACACAGCCCTGTCTGACACACTTATCGATGCCAGACTAGTCCGAGTAGGCCCTGTTGTTGCAGACACAAGCACTAAAGTCCCTATACAGAGACTTCATGCCTGTATCCACCCAGCGCTCAACCCAAATGAGGTCAGTGTTTGCCATAACACATTCTTGTCCACTCTGGCATAAGCCTTTTCAGAGTTCACGAACGCACAAAAAATAGATCTGATCCGTACACCCCATTCTTTTTCTAAATCCCGCTTGCACATCACTTTCCCATGTATACATGTGAGTCTTCTTATGATGAAAGAAAGTGTTCGTCACAAAAATATTCTTTTCCACACATACGGTGAGGAGGCTTTCACCATTCTCATTTATACTTTCATCACCTTTCATAACCAAGTCTCTTCACCCCAACCCTTCCATTAAAATCTCCTAATATAACAATATTTTCATAACCCTTGCATTTCATCAGCACCATCCTTACCAACTCCCAAAACTGCTCTCGGATATAAGTGGGCGTAGACCCCTAGAACAAGCAACTTCTTTAAGCTCATTTTCATTCGTAGTGACAATCACAATGTGACAACCGCACTCCATACGAGACTATTTGTTTTTTAAAACAATTTAACCTTCGTGCGCTACAAATTAGGTTTAAATTTGAACACGCATGTAAAAACGCACTCCGTACGAGACTATTTTATTTTTGTATAGCAATTTCAACCAACAATGTATAAAGTTAGGGTCGAAGTTCAAATGAACGTATAACATGACAGCTAAATAAGTGTAACGAGACTATTTCCTCTGCGCCCTCTTCTCCCAAAAGAGCGTCGCTTCCGATCCGGCAAAGAAGCTTAATCAGCCAATTGCCAGTCCCACAGGCGGTTTTTAGTGGGTATCACTTAGGCTCCCGGTTAGGTTAGACACAGTGAGTCCCACATAACCACGACAGACCGGCTGTCGTGGTATGCATAAAGAATTTACCGCCTCCTCGCGTATCGGGGTAGCCCATTTTTCAATTGCTTCTGGGCGCAAAAAAAAGAGACTATTTGTTAACCCTGCAGTTGTCGCACCTTATAAAATAAGTAAGTGGTCACGTAGATTTCATATGAAGTGCAATCTAAAATAAGGAGAAAGACGTAAATTGTCAACTTTAACTAATACATACTCTGTTCTAAATAAAACCAGGTAACATTAAATTAACGGTTAATTATATTAAATAAACAAAATAATTTATACCTCCTTTTTTTGAATTATTTTCTTTGTTTCCTCTTTCTAACTAAAGAGGGAAATAAAGAAAGTCGCGGAGAATTTTCTTTTCAAATTTTTGTTTGCTGTGTTTAATAATGTGATCGCTAGAGTTTCCTCTATTTGTTGGTACACTCTTCGACCAGTGAGTTACCATTTAAAAAATAAATCATAACTAAATGCATGTGAACGTGCTGCACTGAGCACGTCCTTTTAATACTTGACGTGTCAAAAGATTCATTTAAGTGACTTTTCTGAAAATTGATATTATTTAAAATTGGATTAATATTATAATACACCCTACCACCGTCCTATAAAAGAATATCTGTCTATCTAATATCCTTGAACACACACTCACAAAAGGCGTGTTATAAAATAAATCATAAATAAATGCACGTGCACGTGCTGCACTGACCACGTCCTTCTAATCTTCAACTTTTAATACTTGACGTGTCAAAAGATTCATTTAAGTAACTTCTCTGAAAATTGATATTATTTAAAAGTGGATTAATATTACAATCCGACCACCGTTCTATAAAAGAATATTTATCTATCGGGCTCGGATGCATCGCTTTTTCGCGGAGCTGGAGCCATCTGTTCATGTATCAGAGCAAAACCTGGCAGACCGAGTTCGGTACATCCTGCGCTCCAACATATTTGGTGACGCCGAACTCGAACGACTACGACGTGAGGCCGTTCCCGTATCGGATGAAAATGCTGCAGCTGGTAATGCGACGCCACAAATTGCAGAACAATCTGCACACGTCGATGCCGCCGCGGATTTTCTAGTTGTAGTTGATTCAGACGATGATGGAATGGTCACCCAAGAACTAGAACAGATGAGGAGTAAATTGGAGGAGGCGATTGTGGAAACACGCAGTACGCCTCTCGAAAATCGACCGCGACTACCGCGCATAACCCTAAGCAAGCGGAATCGGGCTGTCGTGAGGGCTCTTAACCCAATGCTGGTGACCTATTTGGAAGCCAGCCGGGACCTTTGCGAGACGGACTCAATTCTTTTTGGCGCCACACTGGCAGTTTGCCGTATTATTGGCGCCAAACTTCCCACGGCTGGACGCGCTACTAGACAAAGTAGCGCCATCCCAGCCTGGAGAAGAAGGATTGAGGACCGTATCGCAAAGGCAAGGGTCCCCATCGGCAGACTGATAAGCTTCAGGTCGGGCAATAATAGGCCGAGAATTGTGCGCACCGTCAGGATGGCGTTTGCTGGGACAAATATCAGTTTGTCCCAGCCGGATATAACGCAAAAACTGACGGAGCGCATAGACGACCTGAAGCAGAGAATCGCTGCTTGGGGGAAGCGGATTCGGCGATATACCGAGAGGTCGACACGGTTCAACCAGAATCGTCTCTTCCAGAGTGATCAGAAGAGGCTCTATGAATCATTGGAGCGACCAATGGTACGTGGAACGGGCCCAGCACCGAAACAGGCCGACACTATCGCATTCTGGCGCGGCCTGTGGTCAGAGCCCGTAAACCACAGCGAAGGCCATTGGACGGAAGTTGTAGCGAGTCAGTGTGCGAATATTACGCCCATGGACCCCGTCATCATAACGCCGGATGACGTAGCTGAGGCGGTCCGTAGGGCCCCGAACTGGAAAAGTCCGGGACTCGACGGACTGCATCACTACTGGCTGAAGGGGTTCGTGGTGTGTCACGCTGTGCTCGCCCGACAATTTCAAGAGGCTCTTGACCAAAAGTCGCTCCCGAGCCTCTTCACTACTGGGATCACTCATTTGGTTCCTAAAGACCGGGATTCCACAGAGCCGAGCAAGTACCGCCCCATAACGTGTCTACTTACCATATACAAGACACTAACATCCATTTTGAGCGCGAGAATCACTCGTCACCTGAACTCAAATCAGGTGATGTCGCGCGCTCAAAATGGATGTCGGGGTGGTGGTCGTGGAACAAAGGAACCACTCCTCATTGACGCGGTCATTGGCAAGGTGGTTAAACGCAACCGTCGGAACCTCTCCGCCTCCTGGATAGACTACAAAAAGGCATTCGACTCGGTGCCTCATACATGGCTTAAGAGGGTCCTCGAGCTGTACAAGGTTGACTGTACGGTTCGAGACTTCCTCGGGCAGTGTATGGGGCAGTGGAGTACGATCCTTTGTCATCTAGGCCAGCGGATGACGGCTGCGGAGAACCACATAAGGATAAGAAGGGGTATCTTCCAGGGCGATTGTTTGAGTCCAATCTGGTTTTGCCTCTCTCTGAACCCTCTCAGTACCTTACTGGAGGGTTCCGGGAGGGGATTTCAGCTTCGGAAAGGAGGTACAAAAGTGACCCACCTTTTCTATATGGATGATC